TCCCAGCCCTCCTAGGGATCCAGAACAATCATCAGATTTGGAACCTGAGAATGAAATTACCAGGAAAGTTGAAGAAGAGAAAGAGAACATAGAGGATAATAAATTAAAGTCTTGTTCGAAAAGAGTGAGCAGCAATTCGTCTGAGAGTGAATCTGAAAGTGGTAACCTGTTTTTGGTCCAAAGATATGTTGAATGGGGAGGGTCTGTCTTCTTCAAATGCCAGTATGTGTGGGTTGGGTTTGTACACATATAAGTCTACATAATCTATAAAAGAAATTACTTACACGTTTCTCATATATACACGGATGCTGACAGAATGTTCTAAATTCTTAAAGAAAGTCCTTTAGCTTTGATATGTTTTCAACTTTATGCCATCGCGTAGGACAAGTCAACTTCCAAAGTTGATAGTCTGGTCCCCGAACTCTTTCGCACAGCTTTTTGATCTCTTTTTCCCATCCTTTGCCTTCATTACTTGTTTAATTGACCCTTTGCACATCTTTATTTCGACATCTGTCACAACTTTCGATTATTTGCATTTTAATCCCCAATATTCATATTAGCTTCAATTATGTCCTTTCGCTCGTTTTCTTTAATTCCACCAATATCATCGATTTACTCCTACAAAACACAATTTACAACGAATTAAGCCATATTTCTATACATTTCATCAACAAATATTCTAGTTTCACGGTCGAAATAAGTGTATAAAATACACTTATCAAAATAAATAGCATTTTTCCCCACATTTCAAGTATATCCATACGTATAAAATCGATCTGGATCTTGACCGGATTAAATTATCTGGTTATAGGGACGCACGGTTTAATGTTTATAAAGTAGAATATGTAGAGATTAATAACCAAACTATTGAATAATTTACAAGTTCTTTTATAAATTATAATAGACTTTTCAAATGGTTTAACATCGATCACAAAACAAATAAAATTGATTTTACTCTTTTAATTTTTCATGTACAAATACAGTGATATTTTAAAAATATTTTCTAAGTCGTTTCAATAAAAGTTGAAGATTGTAGTTTTGAAACTTTTAGTTATTTGCTGAATTTGACATTTAAGTTGAAAAATTGTAATTCTGTAATTTATTTAAAAAAAATTAAAAAATGAAATTGGTTTAACTGAATCAATTCAACAGTTTCGTGTTAAAATCGACCGGTTCATAGCAACTAATGAGCATACCTAATATAGTAATTGGACATGATCATGTTGTAATGTCGGGTCACCTAAGCTTTAGATGACGTTGCACGTCTTTGGACTAGATCAGTTGGGCTATTTATGCTCGAGAAAACACAACACGTCTTCGGCCTAGACTAGAACAAGCTCGACCCAGATCGTTACAAGTATTATAAGAAGATATCTAAATCCTCGTTTGGTACACATTAAAATCAGATTTTAATCCCAAATCAAAGTCAACATTGTTTTAAATGGTAAGTTTATTAGAGAATGATAATTGTATCCTTGCAACCATAGAAATTATTATCATTGTATCCATAATCATTCTCTATAAATATATGGTTTTGGCTCTCATTATAATACATA